AGTGTGTTCAGCGCAGGTACGTCCAGAAGGCGTCCCTTCCGGATATCACCGCGGTTCGAGGAGTGTCTTCGTTGAGTGGTGACTCCAAGACCGCGCACCACTCCCCTGCAAAAAAGAGTTGGTTGCAAAACTATGAAAGAGCTGGCAGTGGAGAACCCTTTGCCCAGGGGTGGACACACACACAACCACAAACACAGAACCTCAAACAAACACATGCCACACAATACACAACCAACAACACACAATACACAACCACAAGCACAAACACAATACACAACCGACAAAACAGACACACACAATACACTACCGACAACGTACAACCACAAAAACACAATCGCAAACACACAACCACAAACACGCAACACCCAATACACAACCAACAAAACACGCAACAACAAACAAATACAAACACACAAAAACACTATCACAAGCACAACCACAAACACAACCACAAACACACTGCACAACCACAAACACAACCTCGAACGCACAACCACAATCACAAACACAACCACAAATACACACCACGCAACACACAATAAACAACCACAAAAACACAAGCACACAACACAAAACACAACCAACAAAAACAAACCACAACACAAACACGCAACACACAACCAACAAAACACAACTGCAAAGGCAAACGCAATGCACAACCAACAAGACACAGCCACAAACACACAACCACGAACACAATGATTGGGCGCCGTTGATGACAAACTCATCAGGCCCAACAACCACCTTCATTCTATGATTTGACAAGCACCGGGCCCGGTGCCGCGCGGCCTTTGCAGCACTTGTTATCACAATACACCTTACTAAAGCTAGCTTTGCCTGCCTGCTTTTCATGAATTCACAAGCGCCTGGCCCGGCCCTTTGCAACACTCGTAATGGCCACATGAAGTGCTAGCGCCATGCTGCGCGCTCGTGTGCGGCCACTGGGCGTCTACACTGCGCGCTCGGTGTTCGCTCCTGCCTCTGACCATGAGGGAGCGCCGTTGATAACAAACTCTCATATAGCGCGGCGCCCACTATACATACGGCTAGCGAGTTGAAAACTGCTAGTGCCATAGGTCCTGCTTGCTGGCGCTCTTGCTGCGCGCTCGTGGGCGCTCAACAGTGATTGATCGCCGTTGGCAACACCACTACTAACTACTGACTACTTACTACTTGCGAGCACTACTTACTACTAACTATTACAACAACAACTAATAATAATAGTCATTTTTATTACTACTATTACACAACCACAACACAACACAGCTATATAAATATAATTATCTGCGTGTGGCATTTTGCGTCGCACGTGGTCACAGGGTCGCACTTTTGGATGCCAACTGGAGACCCTGGTGACACACCGACGCGAACTCCCCAACACAAAAACAACAACCCCAAACCCGAGGACCCACAAGCAAAATCGAGAACCAACCACAAAACCCCCCACCATGGCAACATGCTCTTCACCATGGTATGAAAACAACTGATTGACATGTCATGGTAGGGATCACTCGAAATAAAGTACAGTAATTGTTGTAAATCAGATCGTGCAAACTGACAGCGCGATGCCAATAAATGCAACGTTCAGAAAGAAACACGACTCTTCACCTGCCAAAGCAAGTATTTTGTCAAGGAGCCAAAGTAACTTCCTGCTATGATGAATGTTAAGGAGCTGCGACAATAAGTACCTTGTGCAGTCCAAGCTACCGCCAAGCCAGCTGAGACGGCTTGCTGGCTACCCAGCAAGGTACAAAAGAAATCATTGTCGTTTCGACCTGAGACCGCGACAGCAACAACACCTGCAATGTTGAACATTAATTCTTGGACGGTTACACTATCTTCTTCAAACAGGTGCATCAAATCAAAGCTCCCTGAAAACCGGCAGCTGTGCATCAGTCACTGCAGTGAGAAGAGTATTGAAACTAAACTTCCACCCTTTCGGCAGGCGGGGCTTGAACCAACGTATGTTAGCTGAGTTTTCACATGCCGCACAAAGTGAACCTTGCCATATGGTCTATCTAATCTATATAAGTAGACTAAGTGTGCCTGTGTGCGTGTTTAGAGTTTTGGCACGCCACATCCTTACCTCCAATCCCTCACCGAGTTCCTGACAGCACGCGTTGTTGCCTACTCGGTGGGGCGCCTTTCCTGCAGTCAGCAAAGAGCACCTGCACAGTGTTAAGATGTCATGGTGGCATACAGTATGTATTAATATATGGTGTCTTACTTGAGCTTCAAACCAATTTCTTGCCCCAGCATTGATACGCTTGGACAAGACCAAAGCTTTGCGTTTGGGGACATATTGCGAACAAAGCCTTCCACAGGTGACACACACACACATTGCTAACACATTGCTAAAGCTCCATTGCTAAAGCTCCGTCCTCATTTAAAAAAAACATGATTCAACAAATGAGTTGCTGGATAAAAACACATTTCGTCGTATTCCGGCCGTTTCTTTTGGCTTTCTGCACTCTCCCCTTTGTCACAGTTCAACCAATCAAAAAAATAGATAGTGACCTCAGGGAGACCTCCATCCCATACTACATGTGCATTTTGCTTCTGCCTCTGTGCCTCAGCAAACTAAATGCTAAACAAGCTGCTTCATGTAGCAAATACCGGCAAACCTTGGCACAAGCTTGGGCTGAAGAATATCAAACGTCAAGCCCCTGTAGATGTATGTAAATGTCACATCTTCTGCGATACAAGATCATCAGCGGTGTGCATCGACCACTTCTACATGAAAAGAGAATGTCTCAAGAAAGAAGTCCAGCTTACATGTCAGCCATTTGTTGTCCACCAAAGCTGTCCCAAACAAACGATCGAACCTTGCCACAGTACGTCTGGCAGCTTCAGACTGTCCAGACTGTCAAGCAAACACCCAAAAACGTACGAAGCTAAACCTGCAAAACCTGCAAAACCCGTGGAAACACACGTCCAAACGTCAAAAAAGAGGCAGTTCGAGAGGCAATTCCTCGTCTTGTAGGCACTGTGGACCTTGGACCTGCGGCAGGCGACCTTAGGACCTTGAATACTCTACAGAGTAGAATGCATCAGCAATGTTAATGTTGATAGAGTTCTCAACTTGCATGTTCATATCTTTAGTTGGGGTACCAGGTGCAGCAACTTTCTAGTCCTGTCAAAAACCAAATTGTGTGAATGGCTGTCAAAAACCTAAATTGTACAGATGTTTGCCGACGGACTGGAAGATAGAATGCCTCTTTTTTCAAGATTTTTCCATAGGAAGATAGAATGCCGTCCCCAAATGTTTTTTAGCCAACAGAAATGGACAGTTAGAATGCTGGGGTCTGGCCAGTTAGAATGCTGATCCAGGGTGTGCATGTTGAAAAATCTCGAAACTGCAAGGAAACACCAGGATTTCTTCGAAGATAGAATGCCGCCAAAGATAGCAAAAAAGCACTTTGAATGCCACAGCTTTTACAGAATAGACAAACAAAAGGAAAGGACAAAGAAGAGGAAAAAGGAACAGGAAACAATTGGTAAAGAACAAGACATGGAAGCAGAAACGAAACAAAAACACAGGAGAGGAAGCAGAAGGGGAAAGGGAAAGGAACAGGACACGGAAAAAGATAAAGGCACAAGGAATAGGAAAGGAAAGGCACAGAAAATGAGAGGACAAGGAAGAGGAACAAGGAAAAGGAAACAATGGCTAAGACCGGGACATGGCAGCAGAAAACAGAAGGAAGGAGAAAGGAACCAGACAAGGAAAAGAGGACAGGACACAGAATAAAGTGGAAAGGACAAATAACAATGAGACAGGAAAAGAAAAGATGCAACACGAAAAGAAAAGAAAGAGGAATAGGAAAGGCAAAATGCGCAACAATGAAAAGGATCGGATGCTCTTAGGAGGAACAGGAAGCAAATAAAGGCAAAAGAAAGGAAAGAGGCAAGAGGAATGGAAAAAGGAAGAGGGAAGGCACATGGAACAATGAAAAGGATAGAATGTCCAATTGTCATGCAATTGCTTCTCCTCCCTCCCTTCCTTGTTGGAATTTTGGGGATCAAGACTGGCATTCTAACTGTCAGTCTGTGAGTGTGTTTGTCCATGCTAGATTTGCAAACAGTAACAGCATACGTGCCCAGCCTTTGCACGCTGCAAACTGCAAACCTCCAGAATAGACAAACAAAAGTAAAGGACAAGAACGAGGATCAAAGAACATGAAGACATGGTAGAAAAATGCAAAAAAGAGAAAGGAAACAGAAAAAGGAGAAAGGAAAGAACACAGGAAAAAGGGAAGGACGAGAAAAGGGAACAGTTGAACAGGAGGCAAACAAAGAATAGGAACGGAAAAGAACAATGAAACAGGAAAAAGGCAAGAGGCGAAAGGAAAGGACAAGGAAGAGGAAGAGGAAAGGTAAATGTAACAATGAAAATAATAATGCTTCATTGTCCTGCCATGTATGGGATCAAGACCAACATTCTAACTGTCAGTCTGTGAGTTAGAGGGTGTATGCATGCATAGATTTGGAAACAGCAAATGTGCCCAGCTTTTGCGATGCAAAACCTACAGGATAGACAAACAAAAGGAAAGGACAAGGAAGAGGAAACAGGAACAGGAACAAAGGTAGAAAAAGGTAAAAGGAAAGCACAAGGACGAGGAAAAAGGCAAAATTGCTAAGAATGGGACGTGGCAGCAGAAAGGAGAAGGACCGGAACAGATAAGGGAACAGTTGAACAGGAAACAAACAGAGGAAAGGCACGTGGAAAAATGAAAAGGATAGAATGTCTAATTTTCCTGTCATTGTTTCTCCTCCCTCCCTTCCTTGTTGCAATTTTTGGGATCAAGACAGGCATTCTAACTGTCAGTCTGTGAGTGTGTGTATGTATGCAGACAACATACGTGCCCAGCCTTTGCACGCTGCAAAGTGCAAACCTACAGAGTAGACAAGCAAAAGGACAGGACAAGGATGCTAAATTTCATAATCTAGGGTTTTTACGCCGAACTTAACTTCCGCAAAGGATTTTAACTTTTAACATGGTTGGATAAGCTCGAGCGACCCTGATCGGAGGAAATCTTTAAAAACATGAACTTTGCATGAACTGGCGTCTTTTAGGTTTAAAACTCTCCTTTTAGGTTTAAAACTCTCATCTCACTTCAAACTTCAAACCCAAGTATGCAGCTTGCAGCGTGGCGCAGCCGCAGCGATACTTTTTTCCGACACAGTTTGCCTTTCGGTCC